AGAGACCGTGTCCTGCGTCATCCACAACCCCGTCCTCAACGAGGAGAAGCGGTCAGTCATCAGCCTCCCAGGTGAGTGCTCTGCCTCGGGGACCAATGTGCTTGGACCAACAAGAGCGATTCCTGAACAGTGCTAGAGCTCTTCATATTTTATCAAGGAAAATATTTAACACTTAGTAATATGAGACATTTATGACTGGAAATGTATACATTACATTTTATTGAATGGTACTCTAGTTATTTTTGAATTCTACCTTTTTCCTTTTTCTGCAGAAATCAGTGCAGAAATAAAAATAAAAAATATAAAAAGAAAACAGCTAAAACAGCAGATGATTCATGAGAAATTATCATTATTTCGGGGCATTTTATATTTTTATTATAAATTGGGCTTTCCAGTAGAATGTAGAACTTGCTTTTATTTTCGAAATAGTTTCTTTCCTCTTTGTTGGACCAAGTTACTTAATAGGTTATCTTTGTTTCTTTTTTCCCCAGAGAAACTCCAGTCTGAGCTGGGTAAGTAGGACCTGCCCCATGCACCTGTGAGGTGAGCTTCTGCAAAGCATGTGGGAGCTATCATGAGATTTCGTTGTCCAGATGGGATACCAAGCCACTGTTTTACCAAGTCTTATGCTAAGTTAGTATCTGAGGAAACCCACAAGGCACAGACCTCAACATTCACCTTCAGGGGTTTTCCACTATGTAGCCTGCCACCCTGGGAGTTCCCGGGGATCCCAGTGAGCTCAGATGGATGCCTGGATGGGGCACAGACATCACCTCTGCTCTGTGTGGGCAGAGGAAAAGGAGCTGCCCTTGAGTGTTGGGGCATGGCACAGGACTTTAGGTCCGGCTCCAAAGGCCCTTGTGAAACATTTCTAGTGTGAGTGAGGTCACAGCATCATGGTGACTGGAGATCCTGCCCTACCACCTGCATCCTCTAGCCCTGTAGGGTCACCTTCTCCTCATCCCAATAGCTCCTGTCCTCACAGTTGGGAAGGAGCTGTTATTTTCTGAGTGCAGTGTGCGATCCTATGATTGGGAAGATATTTTCCCCCCTCATACTTGGACTGAAGCTATTATTTTACTGTACCTAAGATAAGTGGTTTAAAAATAACCAACCGATGTTTGAGTCACTTTCAGTTTCCTTCACGTCTCTACCATCTCCTTCATTTCTAAGGCCCAGACTCCCAGGCCAAGACTCCCAGCCCGATACCTCCCCAGGTATACATGAACCTGCATCCCTCATTCCTCCTTCCATTAATACATTTTTCATCAAGTTACCTGTAACAGGAATGTGTGATTATGTGTGTGTGTGTGTGTGTGTGGCATGTGCGGGTGAATGTGTGTGCTTGAGGTGAGCTTATGCACACCTTCCAGCTCATGTAGGAGTTTCTGAGGAAGATAAGGGTGACAAAGAGACCCCAACCTCTTTTAGAGTAGCTTGACACCATAAAGATAAAGGGAATGGCCTTGGTAAGATCAAAGGTAAATGCAATTGGAGGAGAGCTGCACACCTGTGAACCTTGCCCTTCCTGGGGAGGTTCCTGCCTCCTGCGGCAACGACCTGACAGAGACCTTAACTGGCAGAGCTTGTTAGCTCCAGATTAGGAATGAGCCAGGGTTTGGGGCAGGTGGATGCTAGTCTGTGCTGTTCAAGATTTCAGAAAGTCTGTCCTCTGCATTCCCTGGACCAATTTGACATGCCTATTGGAGACTCAGCCCACTAAATACAATGCCATGTCACGTGTTTCCTAAGCTGAGCTGACGTTTGGGGACCACAGTAAATCAAGGTGGAGAGATGGAGCTTTCCTTTGCTTCTTGTCAGGTTGGGGAGGAGGATTGTGCCCCAGGAGCTTCGAGGGTTTGCTGTGGTGACTGAAGCTCCCAGGAGCTCCACAGACATCTCTGTGCTATCCTCGTGAAGTAGAGACACAGAGAAGGACCCACTGCCAAGGGCCACTGAAGTCCTGAGACAGAAATTTCACTTCCTATTCAGGCAAATAATGTTATTGGTTTATAAAAACAATGTCTAGTTTTTAAATACTAATTATATGCCAGGCACTAATGTTAATTGCTTTATAGAAATTGTTTCATTTTCTTACAATAGTTATAAAGGTCAGATGATCTGTTTCCATTTTATAGTTAGGATGCTTCCTTAGAAACATGGGTGACTTACTGAAAATGACTAAGAAATTATAATGGTTTCCTTGTAATTTATGTTTATTTAATTTAAAAGTACAAGTTTTATTTATTTTTTTCTGTCAGAAGTTGCATGTGTTTACCAAAGAGAGACAGACAGAGAGAAGGAGAAAGCACCTTATGGTAGAGCATGGTCATGCTACCATCCCTTCTCCTCCATTTCTCCATCCTGTCAGAAGTGCATCCATCCATCCATCCATGACTGGTGTATTTTTTAAGCCATTGGGGCCAGGATTTCAACTGTGCTCTTCTTTGTGGGATCTGGTTCCCTGAACCACTAGACTATGGGGCTAGCCCAGAGTTCACATTTTTAATCACTTACATGTGATTGTGTCAATTCATTGATCTCTATTATTCTCACTTTAAAAATGAACAGGTTAAATTTAATCTTTAATATTGTGTCTTGTTCTGAGAGACTAGATATAATATAACAGCACATTTGAGGCATGAGATAACCCAGGTAATGAACATGCTGATTGAAAGGGGATTGCAGGATACAATGTGAGATTACCAGGAGTCAAGGACTCACTGTATAATTCCAGTGTACCTAACACTCCAGAGGAGATTTAAGTTTTCAGTGGATATTCAGAAGGTGTCTCAGGAACATGCATCGAATCCTCAAAACCAAAACAAAACAATAAATTTGAGCACAAATTGTGTGGAAGGCTGTGTACAACCCTGTCCAGAAAAGGACATTATGCAGAACTACTCACAAGGAGCTCAAAGCCTAGTAGAAGCTCAGTTATCATCAGATAGGGCTGAATGACTTTCTAGTACTTTAAACCTGAGCTTTACTTGGATTCTGAGAAAACAGGAGATTTGTATCTCACTTACGTGTTTAATTAATAGAACTCTCCATATTTTGCTTGCTTTAGAACCTATTACAGTCATTTTTAGCTCTTAATTTCCTGTGTCTTTTAGGCTAAGCCAGATTGAGATTTGTAAGTGCCACACGTTGTGAACAGGAGAAAAATCCTCAGATGAGAAACAGGAATGAGGAAACCATCTGTTTTAAAGTAATTTACTTTAAGATACATGGAGGGAGAAGTAGCAGTAAAGTAATTTCTAGTTCATCTTTTTAAATTCTACTCTTGTCTTCAGCTTTATATTGTATTAGTCTGTTATCATGCTGCTAAACAGAAATGTCCAAGCCTGGGTGATTTATAAAGAACTCCACCACAACCTTGATTCAGTAGTAATATGCCAATTTTATAGTTTAAAGAACTGAGGCATAGAAAGATTAAAAAGTAGTTTAAAGTCATCCACATATGAATTAATAAAGTGTTATTTCATTCTAGGAATTAACTAAATTTTATTTTATTTGTATTTTATAAGCTGAACAAGATTATAGGCAATGGTAGGTGGTTGTTCAATTAATGATTTTTTTTTTTATAAACCCCAGTGAGTAGAATGAACATACTATAAAGTAGTACCCAGCTGTGCCCACACAGCTCACTGCAGTCGTCAAATATGTATTTTTTTTTTTTTTTTTACAAAATGATGCAAACAGTTTCACTATTTTTTTTTTATATTACCTAACATTCATTCCGTGAGCATCATCACAACATACTAAATGTGGTTTCCCATCTAGGATAAACTGCACAGTGGCTTAATCAAGCATGTTATCATCAATAATATTCCATTTCTACTTTCCTACATATGTATACATATATATATATGTTTTTTATCCTATGTTTGACCCTCTGCCCTTTCCCCCTCTCCCATTACACTATCTCTGCTATATGCGGCCATGCGCAGGCTCAGGCCCGGGGGCCACGTGCAGGCCCGGCGGCCACGCACAGGCCTGGGGGCCACGCGCAGGCCCAATGGCCACGAGTAGGCCCGGGGGCCACGTGCAGGCCTGTGGGCCACGCGCAGGCCCAGCGGCCACACTCCGGCCCTGGGGCCA